AGGGTCTTGATCAAAGCAGTTGGCATCGAAGAAGCCTTGCACACAAATGGCTAGGAGCGTGTCAAGCCATCATCATCGCAGTAGTTGCGGTTGTAGAAAAGTACCCATCGAGCAGCTCGAGCCGGTCCAGCCCGTCATGCCCCGTGGCGCGGCCGGGTACTTTTGATGGAGAATCGACGGCGACTGAACGCATCGACACATGTCTTTCTCGATGCACACGCCGCTATGCTGACACGAAGTGACGGTCCCGGACGGTGTCAGAAACCGGCAGAGTGGCGTTTGGCAGTCGAAGCCGCTGTAGCCGTCGCCGCAGCTACACGTGTCGGGCGCGATGCACGAGCCATGGTGGAAGCACTTGTACACGCCTTCGCCTTCGCCGCTCGTTTCGTGGTTGATGCGCACTTGGCGGTTGGAGAACTCGCCTTGGCGCCATGCCATGACCCGGCAGAGCGATGTCGCCGACTGCCGGCCGTCATTGAGAACGTCATTGTACGCGTCCCAGTTGCGCTGCCGGAGCTCATTGTCGCCGCCAAAGACAGGGTTGGCGTACGGGATCCCTGGACAGCCCGACTGGAACGACGTGCCGTCGTTCGAAGTGACCTCAATGTCGTACTGCGGACAGCGCACGTGCGTGCAGTTGACCTTCCCGAGGCTCCCTAGCATTCGGTTGATACATTGAAACTTGCGACGACGACAATCTACCTCGCAGCGCGATAAACTTTGCGTCCGACCGCGCAACGTTCAAGACGAACGCTTCGGCTTGCGTACAAATGGGCGTGTTGCAGTCGTAGCCAGTCCACCTACGGCCGTCAAGAAAGACTCGTCAGCGATGTAAAGCACGCACCCCGTGCGTTGCGGTGAGCCACTGGGCAGCGCAAAGATCGGAAGCCCGCCGTTCGAGCGTCCGTCGCGCCAGCCCGACGGCCACGTCACACATTCGCACGTGTCCTAGCGCCACGTTGTGTCCTATGTATCAAGTTGATACACGTGACGGTACCGGCGCAACACAGTGGCCTCCGTTGCGGCAGTCTTGGGCGCAAATAGCCACGTTGCAAATGGCGCCGGTCCAGCCCACATCACACACACAGCGGTTGGGGTTGGTGCACGTGCCGTGGATGCAGGCAGGAGCGCAGATGGGCACCGAGCAGTCATGGCCCGTCCAACCCGCCGCGCAGACGCACGTGTCGGGCGCAATGCATGTGCCATTGTTGTAGCAGCCGCGAAGGACTCTGTCGACGCAATCGTTCGCATAGCTCGTGATGACACCCGACGCTTTCACCGCCGTGTACTGCAACTGCGGGCGGTAGCTCGCGTCCGGGTCCACCGACAAATTCGACGACGTGCCGCCGCAAGTGCGCTGAAAATGGACGAGGCACGTGCCTTTCTGCCACTGCGTCGGGGCCATGTAGCGCCAAATGCCGTTGCGGGTGTACCCCATCTGGGTGTTGTCCCAAACCGGCGCCGTCTTCTCGTACAGCGGCGGCCAGTACATGCTCATGTCCATGTAGAGGGAGTAGTAGTTGGGAAAGTCCCAGTAGTTGGCGGGCGACGTGAGCGTCGCGGGCTTTTCGAATTGCGTCAGGCTTCGGATCGAGCACGCGTAGCCGCCTTGGCGTCCGCCGGCAGTCAAGAAGCCGGCGCCGCCGACCATGGCTGTCGTCGCCGTGTACTGGTCCCACGACAAGACCTCGGTCGTTTGCGCGTACGTCGGGTTGCCGTTCGACGATGGGTGCCCGGCGGCCGCGCTGGCGATCGGGTCGGCGGCCACGAGCGTCATTTGCGTCGGCGTATAGTACCCTACACGCGGCTCGTGTCCAAGTAGGAAGAATGGTGGAGCGAGCGTACGTACCTTGGGAACAGACGGGCACGCGGCAGTCGAAGCCTGCCCAGCCCGGCGCGCAGACGCAGATGCCAGGCGCCGAGCAGTTGCCGTTGTTGGCACAGACGTAAACGCCTTGGACGACGACGCGGAGCTCCACTTGTGCGAGTTGTCGGTCGACGCTGGCCGTGTACGGGGGTGTCGTCAGCAAGCCAGGACTCAAGACGGGCGCGCCCGGGTACGAGAGGTTGAGCGTGTCTTGGCCGTACGGCGTGCGCGGCGAGTAGCGGTGGTACAATGTGCTCTCGCCGTGCTCTCGTAAGTATGTGAACGGACTCAGCGCGTTGGCCCGCAGCTCGAGCAGGCTGCAGTTGGCGACGATGGACGTCGGGCGCTTCGCGCAGTCGAAGCCGTTGGTCGCGCGGCACCACGCGTCGAAGCTGCACGGCACGTACATGGTCCAGTTGAAAGGCCGGAAGAGACCGTTCAAGAACGCGCTCGGGTGGGGTACAAAGCTGCCTTGGTCGCACACGGGAAGCCCGCAGTCGTGGCCGCTCCAGCCGACAGGACACAAACAAGTATTAGGCGCGACACACGTCCCGCCGTTCAAGCAGCTCTGCGCACACACGGGTGTCCGGCAGTCGGCGCCTTGCCACGGCGCCAAGCACGTGCAAGTGCTTGGAGCGGTGCAGCGGCCGCCGTTGCCGCAGGTCTGGGAGCACACGGGCGTTGTGCAGTTGGCGTCGAACCAGCCATTGGCGCAGGCACACGTGTCGGGCGCGCTGCAGCGGCCGCCGTTGGCGCACGTCTGCACGCACTGCGGCGTGGTGCATGCCGGTGCGCCTGTGTAGCCTGGTACGCAAGCACACTGGTTGGGTCCGACGCAGAGCTCGCGCGGGCCACACGTCGCACACACAGCGGTCGTGCAGTCGTCGCCCGTCCACCCGGCAGCGCACGTGCAGACGTCAATGGCCGAGCACACGCCGCCGTTCTCACAGACCTTGGAGCACATGGCCGAGATGGCGCGAATGCGGTGGTTGAGCGTATCGGCTATGTACAGGTAGCTGGTTGCGGACGGCGGTGCGACGACGGCCACGCCGCTTGGGCCGTTAAAGTACGCTGCTAACGGAGGCTGGCCGTCGCGGAAGCCGGCGGCCGACTCGAGCAGGGCTTTCGGGTGGCCGGCCACGGTCTATGTCGCAGGCGCCTCAGAGTCGTTTGTGAGGAACGGACGTACTTGGACGCTGACTTGGGTCACGGGTGTCGCCGCGACCGAGAAGAAGCGCGCGCCGAGCTGGCTGCGCTCGATGGATAGGGACGTCACGCCGTTGGCCGACGACCCCGTGCGGTACACCGCGTTGGAAAAGAGCGTGTTGGGCTGCAGTGTCAGCGTGACGAGCCCGCCCGTGGCGCCAGTGATGATGCCGGCGTGGATCGCGGCGTAGCAGATGGACGACGCGTCGGCGTAGCGCTGCGAGCCGTACACAGGCGTTGTTGGACTATTGCAGTTGGTCGGGCACGTCACTTGGATCGTGCTGCCAACGTCGACGTCTTGGCGTATCGCAGTGATTGGCGCGCCGTTCGCATCATACAGCCGCGTACAGAGGTCCCTACACAGTGCGTGCGTTGCTATCGACCATTCGTCCACCCCTACCCGGTTGTGAGCGCATCCATGGGTGGCGACCCGACGCACGCTTGCACTCGGCGCCCGAGGATGTGGACGCCGGCCTTGACGCTAAAGACGCTTCGGTTCACTGCGTTGTAAAAGATGTTGTCTACGCAGCGCCACTTAGCTCCGTCGCGTCGATGGCATCTTGTGCGTACTCATGGCCGGCGAGACCTTGTAGTGGAGCGCGTCGGTCGGCGGCTCGTACGACGCGCAGCCGGACGGGCTCAGCACGTCCCTCGCACGCGTCGAGCAATCGACGCTGCGGGCCTAGTATCAGCAGACTCGACCCGGACGCGCTAGAGGTCGCAGGACGTACAACGGACGCGGCGTGGGACAGCATGCGCACGTGGTTGGAGATGGCGCTGACGGCAAACACGCGCTCGTCCAGTGGACTCATGGCGACGCCCGAGACGTGAAAAGACGCCTCGGTGTCGTACGACGCGCAGCCGGACGGGCTCAGCACGTCCCTCGCGCGCGTCGAGCAATCGACGCTGCGGGCCTAGTAGCAGCAGACTCGGCCATGACGCGCTAGAGGTCGCAGGACGTACCACGGACGCGGCGTGGGACAGCATGCGTACGTGGTTGGAGATGGCGCTGACGGCGAACACGCGCTGGTCCACTGGACTCATGGCGACGCCCGAGACGTGGAAGGACGCCTCGGTGCCCTCCCCGTCCGTCTCGCTGTAAGCAAATGGACCCGCCCCCGCGACCGTCACGACGCGCTTGTCTGCGGTGACGCCACTGACGGCACTGAGGCCATACGCGACGCGGCGAACGCGGTGGTCGTCGGCGATAAGCACCGTGTTAACCGGGCCCATCGCGATGCTCGTCGGGTGGTTGAACTGCGCGTAGGTTGCATTGCCGTCCCGGAAGCCCGCGACGCCGCGCACACACGGCGGTGGACACCCGAGCGTCGGCGACGTCTGCGCCTCAACGTGACCCGCCAGCGTCGTCGTCGTGCCGTCAAGGCTAGATCGATACAATATGATAGCACAGATGCCATCAACGGTGCTCGGACCTGATCTCGCGAACGATGTGGTTGCCCGTGTCGGCGACGAAGACGACGCCGGACGGCGACACGGCGACGCCAGTGGGGGTGTTGAAGGACGCGTTGCCGGGCGAGCCGTCCGAGAGACCGGGCTGCGGCGGCGCGGCGGCTACCGCCAACGTCGCGGTCTCGGTGCCACCGAGACATCGCCCCGCGACGCAGCTCACCATATTCGTGGCGAGGTTCAGAACGCGAATGCGGTGGTTGCCCGTGTCGGCCACGTACAGCAGCGTGCTGTGCGCTGTCTCCCATAGGGCCACGCTCGACGGGAACGAGAACGTCGCGCTGAGCGCCGGTCCGTCGGCAAAGCCTTCGGTGCCGGCGCCGGCGACCGTCGACACGACGTGCGTCCCCGCGGCAATCTACGTGACGAGGCTACTGGATGCTGATGGTCATGATGATGATGCGCACCTTGCGAATGCGGTGGTTGTTGGTGTCGGCGACGTACACGTTCTGGGCGGCGTCCACTGCGAGGCCCCGGGGGTAGGCAAACTGCGCGGTCGCGGCGGGTCCATCCTGCACGCTCCGTCACCCACTGCCGGTGCAAGAGAAATACCTGAAAGCCCGATGTGCCGGCGCCCGCGAGGCTAAAGACGCGGCCTTGCGCCGACGCCGACGTGCCATAGTCCCACAACTCGGACACATTGTCCCAGTCGCGCTGGCGCGTCACGGGCCCGACGCCCCAGCAGCGTGTCGAGCAGTTGGCATAGTCGGTGCCGAAGGGCGAGAGGCAGCTGTCGCCCGAGAGCAGGACGCAGATCCGGCTGGCGCCGCCGTAATCGTAGCGATGGCGCCCGCCGACGGCCCATGGCACGTCCGAGACGGTCGGGATGTTGGCCGGCAGCGCCGCGTACTCGACGCCTTGGAGCTGCATGCGGTCGTTCTCGCAGAGGTGGCACTTGCTCTGGACGCCAAAGGTCGCGCACGCGTGCCGCAGATCCTGCGCGTTGGCGTTGACGCGGCCCGCGACCTCGAGCGTTTGGCTGCGCGTCTTTTGGTACGCGAACGGCCACGCGGGCGCGGCGACGCTGTCGCACCACGGCTGCGTCGTCCACGCCCGATGGACGCGCATGCCGGCGGCGCCTCCGACGACGACGACGACGACCCGGAGCCGCATCCACCTCGGATGCTTACTTCGAAAAACAAGGCAAAAAAAGATCGAACAACGTGCAAGTAAGATCGTATTCGTACGTGACGTTACGAGCGAGGATAAAGAGAGAGCATGCAGACCGGTGAGGAGGGTGCGCGTGGTCCATGAGCATGAGGATGAGGATGAAGATGGATATGCAGTTCTTAGACGCGACGACACGTGACCTTGTGCGTCGGCCAGTCCTTCTTTTGGCAGGCTTGCGTGCAGTACGCCGTGTCGTTGCAGCGCGCGCACTTCTTCCACTTGCCTTCGCGGCCACAGTGGGCGCACACAAGGTTGGCGGCCTTGGTCGTCTTGGCGGCGGGGGCGACCGGCGGGACGACGGCGGGCATCTCGACGCGGGGGGCGTCCAGCTTGAGTTCCCACACGTCGCCGTACACAATGTCGTGCTGCATGGTCTCGTAGCCGCCAAAGAGAAGCGCGCGGTGGCGGGTGGGGTCCAGCGTCAAGGTACACCCGGCACGCGCGCTCGGCCACGGCGTCTTGGTGTCCTTGGGCGTTTGCATCTTGGACCACGAGACCGACTTGTCGGCGTGGTGCACGAGTCGGTAGCCGTCCGCGTGGTACTTGGAGCCGACCGCGAGCTCGGCGTACCCGCCAAACTGGTACATGTGCCCGTTGTAGCACACGGCTTGGCTCTCGCTGCGCGCGCCCGGGTGCAGCGGCAAGCAAGTGCCCGTCTTGGCGATCGCGCGCTCGTCGAGCCACGTGTGGTGCACGAGGTCGAACGCATAGAGCTTGGACCGGTACTCGTAAAAGTCGCTCGTGTCGGCCTTGCCACCAAAGATGTAGAGCGTATCGTCGTGGACCCAGCCGAGGTGCAGCGTCAAGAGCGAGCTCGGGCCTTTGGCCTTCGCGTGCTGCGGCATGGCCGACCAGCGCTGCGTCGCAAAGTCAAACACATCAAACGGGTTCTCGCGCGAGTCGTCTTGCGCGCCACCAAACACGAGCATGCGCGCGCCGTGCAGCACGGCGATATGCTCGTTGCGCACCGAGGTCGGCTCGTTGGGCGCGCGCACACGCGTCCACACGTGCGAGTCGACGTTGTACGCGTAGAGCGCGCCGCCCGTTTGGTCGTCTTCGTGCAGCGGGCACCCGCCATAGACGTACATGTCGCGGTTGTAGACGACCGCGCTGTGGCCGGCGAGGCACGGCGGCTTGTGGCCCGAGCCGGGCACCGTGACCCATTTTTCGTGTCAAAGACGTACTGGTGGATCGCCACGTCGTCGTCTTCCGTGCCAAACATGGTCGTGGACCGGCCGCCAAAGATAAGGAGCGACGTCGCGTCCGGGTGCAGTGCCGCGCTGTGGAAGAACCGGTTGATCTTCTTGCCCGTACCGGGCAGGACGCGCCAGTCGGCCGGAATGCTGCACGCGTTGAGCTTGGACTGGATGCGCTGGCCTTGCTCGGCGAGGTATCCCGCGGGCGGCACGTCTTTGTTGCCTTTCTGGGACTCGATCGCGAGCACGTGCCAATCGTCAAAGGCGTCGTCGTACTGGTGCAAGGCGGCGTACGCGCGGGCGCGGGCGTGGAGGCAGCGGATGACGTAAATGTTGGCGCAGTGCGACACGATGAACGGGATCACGTGGCTGCAGTCGTCGACGACCTTGGCATACCACTCGAGGCGCAAGGCGGCTTGCGCGCGGTTGCTGTAGAGGTTGTCGCCGTTGAGCACCATCTGCGGGTCCTTTTGGTGGTGCAGCTCGAGCTTGGCCTTGAACACTTGAAACTCGTCGATGGCCGACGTGTACTGCGCGTACGCCTCCTTGTAGAGACCCTTTTGGTAAAAGCTGTTGGCCGCCGCCTTTTGCGTCATGATCTCGCGCATGCGCGCCAGCGCCGTCACGTCCATGTCGTCGTTGCCACCGTGCTCGCCCTTGCCCTTGCCCTTCTTCTTCTTCTTCTTCTTCTTGGCCGACGACGACGACGACGTGGCGTCCGCGACCGACTCGTCGTCGATGGGCTTCGGGCGCATCTCGACGCCAATGATCTGCAGGTGGCTCATGCGCGATGGGTCGTCCAGCGCTGGGTATTGCACGTGCACGCGCCGCTTGTCGCTGGGCAGCTTGTTGTACGCGACCATGGCGGGCGTCACGGGCAGCGTCGTGTCGAACGCGTAAAACTTGCGGTAGTCTCCGACCGGCGAGTTGGGCACGGCCGTCAAGATGTCGTCGTTGAGGAGCGTCATGATGACCGACATGGCGACCTGGAGGTACACGATCTCTTCCATGGTCGCCGCCACTTGGCGAACATCAATGTCGCTGCCCGACTTGCGCTTGATCGAGATGCGCGTGAAGAGCGGGAGCACCGGCTGTGTCACCGGGTCCGGATTGTCGGCATCGGGCAGCATGAGTGGCGTGCCGAGGCGCGTCTGCGCTTCGATGTAGTCGAGGTCCTTCCACGAGCGACAGCCTTGGCCTGGCGGCTGGAACTCGGCTTTCACGACCGAGTAGAAGCCCTCCGAGTTGCAGCGCATGGTCGAGACCGACCAGTTTTCATTTTGGACTTCGTTCCAGTCCTTGTGCACCATGAGCGCCACGTCGCAGCAGCCCGTGCCGCCGAGGATCTGGACAAACCGGAACGGCGACCCGTGCATCTCGATGCGCACGACGTGGTTGATGCGCATGTGCAGCCACGGCTGCGCCTGCCAAAAGCGCGCGCTAGTCTCAAAGAGCGACCGGATGATCGAGTCGGTCATGGATGGAATCGCCTCCATGCCGGCGCAGACGCACGGCCGCGCTTCTTGGCCCGGGTACGGTTTGTTGAGCAACGTGCCATCGCAGAGCGCGCAACGCGACGGAATGTTGCTCGCAAACTGCTCGGCAATCTCGGCAAACGCGTGCGGGATCTCGCTCTCGTTGCGGCCCATAATGGTCAGATTCAAGCTGCCGGCGGCCGCGCCAAGACCGTCGCGCAGCATGGCTTCGTACTTGAGCGGGCAAAAGACGCGCGAGTTGGGCGGCAACGACGTTTGCAGGACCTCGAAATCTGCGGCTGTCACGGGCCCCATATGGACGATGGGCTCAACCTTGAGGATGATCGAGATCGGCGACAAGACAAGCAGCAGCGTTGGCGTCTGGTGGCAGGGTTGCTACATGCAATACTGAGCGTTCATAGCGGCAGGTTGTCTCTCATCATGTACCTGGAACTCGTCCACAGACGAGACCCATTGCCGCAAGCGAACCTACGGTCAGAACGGCCCCATGAGATCGCAGATCTGTCTTCCTCGCAACGTCGCCCATGCGCATACCACGTTCACCCAGCAGTCGTAGTCCGCTTCGAAGAGCCTGCTCTGCGGCGGCTTGGACAGCGGGATGCGCCTCTTCCTCGACGTCATATCTCGCTCACGTGATCTTGGAAGTGCCAGCGCCTTACAAACCCGAATCGTTTTCACGGGTTTCTATCCAACAAAACGTATGCATTGTTAGAGGTTCGCACTTGAACGGAGCGATGTAAATCCATTGACATTTTGTATGCACTTAAATCGTACTTCCGCGAGAACCCATGTCGCGACTCAAGTGCGCCTCGTCTTGTTGTTCGAAGCAACCCATGGCATACAAATCCTGGGTGTCTTTTTCTAGAAACACAAAAAAATACAAAGCGCACTTGTGCGGAACCTCAATATCGGATACTCGAGACCAACAGCGGGCGCTCGTGCTGCCACGAGGCCCGCTAAGATCGGATATCGAAACAACATGCAATTTGTATGAACTTGGAGGCGCAGAGGAAATTAGAGCTTGCGGGCGCGAATGAGCGTCTCGAGCGAATCAGCAAACGTATCGCGATCGTCGACCGTCGCGCAGATGTAGTCGTTCGTGCGCTTGCCGATGACGACGCTCAAGCACTGGTCGTCCGACGCCGTCTCGGCGCCCTTCTTGGCCACATTCGACTTGCCCTTGGTCACGGACGCAATCGAAGCGATTGGAATGTGCTTGTACGTGCGCTCCTTGCTGCTGTTGTCATAGCTCACGAGGTACTTTTGGTCGCGATCAAACTCAAAGTGGCGCGGTTTGAGTTTGCCAAACCAGCCCCCCACCACCTACATAAGCTACGCTCGCAGCAAGACTTCCATATCGCAATACTTCTACCTTGTGGACGTGGTACGCTCGCTTAAAGTCCACCAAAGGAACGACAAGGTCCGCGCCCTGGACTTCCTCGTTCGGAGCGGTGGTCGACGCCGCACGCGACAGCTTCTACGCCCATTTGAGTGTTTTTGTATCCAGACATCGAGCACGACGCGTACCCGAGGCAGTGGCGGTACCGTGTCCGCCTATGCAATGCACACCGTTGAGACTACGCAGGCGACAGCCAACACACCGTAGAGGCGCTCGCTCGGCGCGAGGGCGGGGACGGAGGTCCGTCCGATGACGAGCTCAGACGGCGCTGCAACGCCAACACTTGGCCGTCGGTCAAAGAGAGCGTCTCTTGAAGGTTCGCTATCGTCGATGGCACCGAGTCCCGGTGCACGAGCGGAAGCGGTGCCGTCGGCATCGTCAGTGCAAACGAGAGAGTCTTCGTCCCTGGCTCCAAGTCACTCAAGAGCGCTTCGATGTCGGCGAGGGACTTGGAGCGCACGTCCAAGGCGTCGATCCACTCGAGGCGACTGCCCAACGGCACGCCGGCTTCGACGCAGCTGCCAAGTGTAAAGCCCGTGACGATGGCCGCGATCGGTGCCTTGGGGTCGAAGAGCACGCCCGCAGCGCCAGGACCGACAACAACGTCGATGGCGGCTCTGCGCGGGACGCTGGAATTCGCCGTTGGTGGCGTGAACGAGAGCACCTTGGCGTGCGCCGAGAGACTTTTGAGCAGGTCGGCAACTTGGGCAAGCGAGAGGGCGCTCAGATCAAAGCCATCGACGCCAACGAGGACGCTCTGTGGCGCGACAGCACCGTGCGTTTGGATCACCGAATTCGGCGATATCGTCTCGAGCAGTGCGATCTCGGGCCGGTGCGCCGCAAAGGTGAGTCCGAGCGGCCCCGCTGGCACGTACACGTCCAACGTCGGGCGGTGCTCCAGCGTCGTGAACGTAAGGTCTTTCGCCTTGTGCGAAAGCTTCTGGAGAAGCGCAATGGTATCGTGGAGCGCGAGGCACGAGATGTTGAAGCCGTTGATGGCAACGAGGATGCTGCCAGCGCGCACGAGGCCGCTGCGCTCCAGCGTGCCTCGCTCGCCATTTGGAAGCTCCCGAAAGCCCGCAACCACCGTGTGCGACGGCTGGTTGCCGTCAAAGTCGATGCCTAGCGGCCCCGCGGGGACCCGCACCACCTGCGTGGGGCCTACTGCGCGCCGACGGCGGATCTCGGCTTCGGTGACAAAGGTCACGGTACGCGGGACGTGCGGGAGCTGGCTCAAGAGCCGGACAACGCGATCCCGGCTCGCCAAGCTCACATCCACACCGTTGACAGCTGCCACGCACGCTCCCGGAAGGCGGTGCTTGTACGGGGCGTAGTACGCTCGGTCAGCGTCCGCCAACGTTGCGAACCCCATCACTTTGAGATACGCACACTCGGTACTCTCCAGGGTGAGGCCCAGCGACGAGTCGAGGATCGTGACCGTAATCGCGTCGTCGGACGGCGTGGCGACCGAATCCATCGACGCGGCGGTGTAGCACAAGAGGCGACTCGAGGTGCTGGCGGTGCGGACAAGCTCGTGGGCGGCCGCCGGCGCAAGAGCCGTGAGGTCGGTGCTGCCGACGGCAATGACGACTGCGTTGGACGCCGACGTGGTCGCTGTGAGACGCATGGAAGTGGGTGCTGCAAATGCGACCGGCGGCGTCACGTAGAGAAGGCGCGTGCAGGTGCGCGGCGCGAGGCGGATCAGCTCGATCGTCTTGGGGACGTCAAAGGCAAGGCGGAGGTGGTCGACGACAGCGTCCCTCTCCATGGTCGAGACATCGACGCCGTTGATCCGCACGATGCGGCAGCCACGATGGGCAGTCTTGCTCCAAGGTGCAGTCGCGTCTTCGATCACCGCCCAATGCGTAATGTCGGGGTGCAGCGTCAGCCCCAATGGCCCCGGTGGCGCGGTCAAGAGCAGCTTCTTGGCAATGTCCCACCGGCCCGCGGTGGACGGCGCCCGCAAAAAGGTGAGTTGTCGCGGGGTGTCTGCCGTCTGCCCGAGGAGCTCGATCACCTACATCTAAAGATCAGATCTGGTCCTCCAAAACAGCGGGTGCCTCGAGACGCGTTAGGAACAAGAGGTCGAGGTCGTTCAGCTGCACGAGGCGATCGCCCGGTAGCACACGGTCGCGATGCGCTTGCATGGCACCCGGCGTGGCATCGTAGGCGCCGACAAAGACGCCAGCGACGCTGTCGCCTTCGAGGAGCGAGAGCCCGAGGCGGCCTGGCGACACCGTCACCGTCACATACAAGCGGCCGAGCGCGTCCATGGTGTCCGAAGAAAGTCAGGAATAGAGGCAGCGGTTACCCTTCGACGCGGCGAGAGATGCCGGCCGAGGCGATCGTCTCGTGCCGGAAATGCCGCGCCGCGTGTCCGCCGACCTTCAAGTTCTGCGATCAGTGCGGCGCCAAGCTCTTGGCGCGAAAAGCCACCACGTCCAAAACGACCAAGAAGCGCGCGCCGCCGATGGCGGCAACGGCCGAGACCAGCGGTGGCTGGTTTTGGGGCGCGACAACGACACTGCCGCGACTCGTGCCTTCCAAGCCAGCACCGGCGCCACCGACAAACCAAGAAAAGAGCGTCCAGATGGTGATGGCAGCACCGAGAAAGGAAGTGCAGCCGGAAGGGTCACCGCCGCTCTTGTGGGGCAACTGCTTTGCCAACGCTCAGGCCGAGTACCGCGCAACGGAAGCGCTCCTTGTCGCGGAGATTGCGGCGGACAACAAGATCATTGCGCACATGGCCGCCCAAGCCCAAGCCCATGCGTTCAAAAACGACGCGACATTTCGGTTTGCGTGCCGCACCAAGCGCGAGCTCGAAAGCAAGGTCCATGAACACATGGCCACGCTCGCACGCGTCAAACGTGACCTCGCGGCACTCGCCGCCAACGAAGACAACATGTCCATAGTACAAAAGGTCATCACCGCCCAGCGCGCGGCCGAGACACAAGTTTGGGCCGCGCGCGAGGCTGACGCGCGGCGGCTACAGCGCTGGTGGCGACATGCCCACGCCCGCCGCGTCCAACAGCACCGGACGTCGATTCGCATCTCCCGCGGGTACCTCCATCACCGCTACAAGGCGCGGGCCCATCCCATTTTTGGCTGCACGCTCTACTTTCGCCTCGACCGCGCCGACAAGGCGCGCAAGGCCCGCCTCGAAATCGTTGCGTTCGCCACGCATTTTCAATCGCCGTTTGAATTTCATTTTCAGTTTGAGCATCCCCACGCCGTCCTCGCGGCCGCGCGCCGGCTCCAGCGCCTCGTTCGGCAACGGCGTGCGCGCCAAGGCTTTTGGCAGCTGTTGCTGCAGCGCGCGCGACTGCTCGTGCTCGCCGCCCGGACCCAAGCCGAGGCCAAGGCGCGCCACTGCGCGGTGATTCGCATCCAAGCGGTCATGCGCCGCAAGCAGGCGCGACGCAACGTCGTGCGGAGGATTGCACTGCGGTACGAAAAGTGCATCGACGCCAGCACCTTGCAGCCCTTCTACGTGGACCGTGTGGCGGGCGTGAGCGCGTGGACCAAACCGCGACTGCTGTACGAGCGGGACCTCGAGGTTGTTGCCACGGGCACGACCATGGCGCGCGAGCACATGGACGCGTGGCTGCGCCTCGAGACGCCCCGTCGCGAGCGGATCGCCGCCGAGAAGATCCAGGCGCGCGTCCGCGCCTTTCTCGCCATGCGCCGGCTGCAAGCGCTCGTCGCCTCCATGTACGAGAAGCACACCGACACGAACAGTGGTGCGAGCTTCTACTACAACACGGCAACGGGCGCCAGCTCCTGGACACAACCAAAGCTCTTGGCGATCGACGTGCCCAACCTCGACGCGCCATTGACAGTCGCTTCACAACCACCCTCCGACACGAGCGACACGCGCGCGCAAGGTACCGTTGTCGAAAGCTTCAAGAGATCCATGACGTGGCACGCTCTGGACACGCCCCGTCGCCACGACGTGGCAGCACAGACGCTCCAGCGCTTCGTCCGCGTGTGTGCAGCCAAGGCGCAACGACGCGAACGGACGGCCGCCATCTACACCAAGTGCGTCGACGACGAGACGGGACGGTGCTTTTACTT